GAAAAAAAACGTTTTAGAGGGGGAAATGGTCGTTTGTGCTGGTGATTGGCTTGGATAGGTGGTTGTTGGAGCAGGTTCGACTGTGCTATGATAGTTGAATAACCCTTTATCATGGTATGGTAGTATGTAATTAGTTTAATGTGATTAAAGCATACCAAGGTTAATTAAGAGAAACATGTCCAAATCTCTCCCCCACCCCCTCCCCCCAATCCGACACGTACGAACCAAGTATGTAGAGAGCCTTGAAAACTCCCCCTAGCAACCCGAACCAAAGAACGTTCCAATGAGAGATTCAAATCAGGCCTATTCTCAGGCCCATTGACGTCATAGTCAAAGATGATAAATCAATATAACCTGAGGTAACGGCTCGATCAGGATGGCTATCAACCGGTGGTATACAAAGGTAATGAGTATTTCTGCTCCTGCGTGGAAACAAGCAATATTGACCAAGTTTTACTCATAAATAGCAATCTCATAAAATCGACATTAGGAGATGAGTCAACAAAAAAAAACCTCTTAAGTGCATTAACTTATTTGTACATCTCTCATAGATAGATACTGTTGCTTAGACTAATATGAATATCATGAACAAGCAATGAGGACCAAGTTGTACTCATAAAAAGTCAACCCCCTATACAACAACGGATGTGGGAACTTTTATGAACCAATTTAAAAGCTATGAAAAGAGTCCACTGAATTAGTTTCAGTCCCATATAAACAGTTCATGACGCGTTCAATAATAACAATTAAAAAACAATGATTCGGTGAGCAAGATGATTTTACTTGGACGTTAAATGGACAAATAGTCACTTTGTTAATATTCCACTTCCAGCTGTGCTTCGCATTATTTACATATATAATAAAAGGGGTGAAAAGATATAGGGTCAAAGTCACAACTAGTTCTCTGTATGATGACGTATGTGGCGTCGGTGGCCTAGTGGTTAGGCTCTCGGACTCGCAACCGTAAGGTCGTGGGTTCGAATCCCGTCAGGGACCCGACGTTGTGTCCTTGGGAAAGGCACTTTACACGAATTTTCCTCACTTTACCTAGGTGGGAATGGGTACACGGCTATAGACAACGAAAGATCTTGTCAGTTTGTTAGTGTTTGAGTGCTGAATCGGCTGCTTGCACTGTATGCTTCCCGGGAAGCTGAGAATGTTTCGGAGTGTTCTATGGTCTGCTGGGGTAATAATATAGTGTAAAGCGCATAGAGCCTGCTGTTGAGCGGGGATATGCGCTATAAAAATGCTATCTATTGTTATTATTATTATGACACAAGTCAGGGGAGATTATATAGCATAGCAGTAAGGGTGAATGACATTTTGTCTGGAAGGTTTTAAACCATACTATGGCATTCACGAAGTACCAACATTCAGTTGTACATCATGTTAATGTCCAGCTTTATTTATTAAATTCGTTATTTTGTTTTCACTTTCATTTATTATTTTCGAAATGACCTCAAGGTGACTAAACCCATTACCCTTCTCACCTTTCACTGTTATTTGGATATCTAGCATCGGCAGTTGCTTGCCTTGTACTGTTATGTATAATAGCATGACTTTACTCCTGCATTTAACAGTAAGTTATTTTTCGAATTAACACTTTAAGAACGCACATTTTGATCCTTCAACAAGGATCGAAGATGCGTTATTTTGGGGCTCTAGGTTATTTGTACTAATTTTTATCAACGTTTGTATTTTTTATCTAGAAATATATAAGGCAGGCAATGATGTGCATGTAAATTGATGTTTCTGATTTGCGCATGACGGTATGAAATATGCCAAAACACTTTCTTAATTCTGCTGCCGATTAGACATATAATTTGTCAGCTACGCCCTTTAAGTGTTAAGTCTCATAAACTCAATTATTATTTAAGAAGTAACGAAAGCTGTAAGTGTTGCAAAAGGAGTGTTTTGATGACTTAAGCAGAAGGCTCGCAAAGAAACTTTACTGTACGTGTTGTAGTGCCCCCATCGACACAATTTAGATAATTCTGGAAACGGGCTTTGACCCTACCTCTCAGGGGCAAGCCGGGCTGAGTGGGATGCAACATCTAAGCAGAAAAATGGACATACATCACAGTCTCCATTATTATCATCACCAACAATTAAAAAAAAGGAATAAATTGCGACGCCAAGCCGTTAAACCACCACCCCTATCACAAATAAACAAAAGCTAACAAACAAGCAAACAAACAAAACAAACAGACAGACAAACAAACGCAGAGACAAACAAACCAACAAACATACAGATACAAACAAGCAAATAAACAAACAAACAAAAGAAGAAAAAAACAACTGATTTGCAGCCAAGACTGTATAAGTGGATTTGTCAGTATACGATTTTGTGGCAAATATAGTGACCTGACCATCAATCAAATGATCAGAGCAGCGCAAAACACCGACACTCAACTGTGTGACGATGTGTGAAATTCTTGTCAAAGATTGTAATCTTCTGTGATCTTGTTATCATACAGTTCAGAGATCGGTGTTGCTTTTAAATAATCAATTTTTTATTCTGCAGTTTCTTCTCATCTTGCTTTCTTTATCTCTTTGTTTCTCTGTCTTGTCTGTCTGTCTGTTTGTCTCTCAGTCAGTCTGTCTGTCGCTCTGTCCGTCTGTCTGTCTGTCAGTCAGTCTGTCTGCCTGTCAGTCAGTCAGTCAGTCTGTCTGTCTGTTTGTCTGTCTCTTTCGCTATCTTTCCATCGCTTGCTTTCTCTATATCTCTCTTCCTTTCCCTCTCTTTCTTTTCCTCTGTCTCTCTGCTATCTCTTTCCTTCTCATATTTTCTTTTCCACGTAAAAGTGAAAATAATTCAGGGGGAATGGATATTATGTCTTTCAAAGAGAAAATCTTTGTCAAATTCCACGTTCGATAAACTTGACGTTTCAGTAAAGAACGAGTCTTCAAAATATCGGGGTACTTCTCGGTCCCGAAAGCTTTTGTTACTGCTAGGTGTCATATTTTGAATGGTTTTTCGGTGAACAGAGGACAGGGGAGAATGACCTAATTTTAAAATTTTAAAAAAAGCTCACAAAAAACCGACAAAGTACCAGTCAATAATCCCTCCGGGCAAGAGTGCTCTGCAAATACCTCGTCTTGATGGTATTGATCACGGTATTGATACTCAAAGATTTTGTTGTGTGGTTTTTGTTTCTTTTGTTTCTTTTTTTGCAGTCGACATATCAAAATAGCTCAATGGTTTTACCTCTGTATTTTCAGGCTTGAAACTGAATAGACCTAATAGTTCCTCCTCATGCTAAGCATTAATTTGCATGCTTATGATGGCACGGGTAGCGTTTTGAAGAAACTTCTTCATTTCCAGACGTATCTTTTCCTGTCAAACAAGTCAGCTTCTGCCCCTGTGCATGAGTGGCTTATTTCTAGCAAACCTTTCATTAATATACTGTCACAAATAGGTACTTTTTACTTTCCATCTTGAAAAATGTTATGATCAAGTTTAAGCAGCTAAACAATTTTTAATTTGAAATCAGTTCAACATCGTATGATCACAACTTTATACTAAGCAAGAATTATTAAAAGTGATAAAAGGAACACAAAAAAAGCGCCGACAGAGGTCTAGAAGCAAGTCATGAGTCAAACGCACAAGCACACTCACACACACACATACACACACATACACACACACATACATACACACACACATACACACATATTACACACACACACACACATACACACACACGCACAAGCACACCAACACATATACACACTGCGCATAGATACACACAAACACTCACAACCGGCATTGCCAAAGATCATGGAAAATATAAATTATGTTAACAACCACTGAAAGATCAACAGCTATGCCATTCATTTATGATACACAAACATGTCAGCTGAATAAAGGAAAAGGAAATTTGAGGGGCCTAGCTGTTTTACGCTACATGAAATTACTCATGTGGTGTATTTCTATATTTGAATGTTTGATTGTATAAAATTATGATTGAAGATGATTTACGCTCCCATTCACACAATTTAGATGATGTAGGAGGCGGGTTGCTATGGCACTGCCTGCCAGAGCCAACCTTGGCTGAGAGGCGATACAACGCCTCAGCAGAAAGACTGGATGCTCGATAAAACTTTCCCAAAAGGGGCATCAACCTTATGTCTTCTGCGTGTGACGGCGAATGGCCTTAACGCTACACCACAAACGCTAGATAACTTACAATTTGAATACGCGATATACACACCATTGTATAAATATGGTCTTTGAGTAATTAGAAGTAAAGGAAGCAAACTATCGACAAAAGAAGAACGGTGACAAGTAGCTTAGTTTCATCAGCACAAATTAATCATTCGAAGAGTGAATCAATCTTTGAATCTATCTATCTTTCTACGAATCAGTAAATCTATTAGTTAAGTTTTTGTGAATGTTTTACGCAGTTGCTCAACCAATACGTCATATACGTGCCGAAGATTAGGGATGTTACTACTAAAGAGTGTCATACAAATTAATAAAAGAAGAACGGAGAATGAGTATGTTAGATGTTTAACAGGAATGGAGGAACAAATCATACCAGAGCACCATCCAACCACCCACGGAAATCCATTCTTTTATTAGTCAAACAATCAATCAGTCAATCAAAAGTCAGTCAACATGATAAGGAATAGCCTATACAAAACAGGAAGATGGTCATATTATTAGCCTTTCCGTTGCTTTGGTGAAACATTAAGCTACTTAATAAATGAAGCAAAAAAGAGCGTCCAACTGAAAGACAACGAATGAGGTGGTTTGGAAGTGTAATGAGAATGAGGCCACAACAGCCAGCCTCAAAGGCCAACAACATGCAGTTCGATGGTTACAAGGTAAAATGAAGGTAAAAAGAAAGAGATGGATTGACGTAGTCCAAACGAACAGCATAACGATCCAAACAGCAACACACCCGGCCCACGTCCGACAATCTACATCGCCCCTCGACGCCTCTTAGTATAGGCCAACATAAAAAAACAAAAGTAAAGAAAAGTACTCTACTTACCAGTAGCAGGTTCCAATAAGGCACTATCTCGGCGATCGTCTTGGTTACTTCCGTGCATGCGCTGCCCATCACCATAACGAGGCTGCTATCCTTCGATTTCCGGTAGATGAAATCAAAGAAGGCGTCCGTGCCAACACCAGGGTCACACTGGAAAAGAAATAATAATAATGAATAGCATTTGTACAGCGCATATTCACGCTCAATAGCTGATTCTATGCGTTTTATAATTCATATTTTACTATCTTAATAGAATACACAGCTATGGGAAAAGAACAATACATTATTTATCTGCAACGCAATATAAATTTGGTTGTTAAAATGTATGTGTTTTCCACACCCGTCGACACAATTTAGATCATTTAGGAGGCGGGATTCGACCTGACTCTTAAAGCTAACCCGGGCTGAGAGGGATACAACATCCTAGCAAAAAGCCCCGGATATCGATAAAATTTCTCTCCACAGTGGAATCGGAAGACAGGCTGTCTCTCTGCGGCAACGTACGTTAACTACTGCTACACCACAGACACCGATGTCCTAGGGCTATTCTTATGCAAGTTATTTCCACTAAGACAATGGTATCCACTTCTAACTGGTAATTGGTAACTGACAAGTGAATTGGTATAACGTCCCTTTAATCATTTGACGTCATAGTCCGTCTCCGATAAGACCTAACCAAGTGGTTGGGGAGTTTTGAAAAACTCATCTAAACAATCCAAGTTCAGGAACGTTACATTCTGGTCCCGCCCCCAGACAATTCGTATATTCGTATCATAAGCCTGTGTGAAACCAACAAAGACAACGGCGCACTGCTCAGTGCGTGTTTCCGGGTGTACTGAGAGACAGCAATTTTTTCATAGGTTTAACACCTTTTTCACCACTGTAAGGCTATTTAGGAGGCTGGACCTCCGAATTTAACATCCATTTTCGAAAGGACCAAGCTGAATGGACGGAGACCCATAAAAACACCCCCAAAACAAGCTAAGGCCAAATGCTTCCATGAGGATTCGAACCAGGGCATTTGCTCCAGCATTTAACCAGCTGAATCACAGGGCCGAGGAGAGCAAGTACCTGTAAGAGCAATAATTATGTTGACCTACGCGCTTTGGAATGTTTGTTTCATTTGATATACACAGGCACAGCTGAGTATTTTAACGAGGCTGTGGGTATGCCAGTTTCAAAAGTGAAATTCAACGGCTGTGTAAACTTGGTTTGACCCATCTGCTGTTCGAATTAAGAACCTAGTTTTTAACAAAACCAGGTTAGCATCTCTTTTGGCTTAAATTGAAGTAAACCCAACTTCATAAGGTATAAGTTCTGCTAAGGTTGTAATATCTCAATATTGCATTATGTATTTTTTTAGAAATAGAGAATTCGATATTAATTTTTAAAGTTAAAAGATTTCGACCTATTTTTACTTGAAACAAATTCTTAAATAGATTTTTTGACTCAGATACGCTAACTTTCTTTTAAACGTATGAGCTGATCGGTGAAATACGTATTAATACCATCCGGTTCATCAGCTACTTTCGGAGTTATGGTCTCTACCGCATAGTCAACTGGAGTCCCCAACCCCCCAGGGCGGTGCTACTGACTGAAGTGTCTTCAAGCCTTTCCCAAAGGGGGGGACATTAATCCTGTTCTTATGCACAGTAGAATTGTAATAGTAAATGAGCTGATTCATCAATGGCATGCTTATAACTGTCCCTGAACTGCAATAGGGAACTGCTGCTTTTTTCCCTAGTCCTATCATCGTTTTTCCTCTACTGCTTTTGCATGTTTGTCACACTCTTGTAAACTACTATTTCCGGGTGCCTTGATAGTCGAAGCAGACTTTGTGCCGTTGAAGCTAGAGAGGTGAGCAGAGTAAGCCTGATTCCCTGTAAGGACGTCTCTGTTGATATCCACCCTTTGACGCTCATATGACCGCATGCAGTTGCGAGCGCCGCAAACCCTCTACTAAATCAACTGGACTCCACTCTTTTAAAAAATACGACGAATATCTCACATGACGTCACTTCGACCCACATGTGGTTTCACTTAGTGTAGATATCCTCGATGTTCTTTGAAGGTCATGTAAGTTTAGAATGCCGGGCTCAAGTTTATGTCATCGCTTTGCTTTACAACCTACGTTGCTAAATCCTTCTGAGAGGAGGTCGTACTCTTCAAACCATTGTTAAATAATGACGAATGTTAAACAAGCACCAAGAGGAATCACTCGACTGTTTTCTTTGTCTGTCTGTCTGTCTGTCTATCGGTCTTTCTGTCTGTCTGTCTGTCTGTCTGTCTGTCTGTCTGTCTGTCTATCTGTCTGTCTGTCTGTATTTTTTTTACTCCTACATACAAACCTACTCTGTCCATCAGTACATCTATCTGTCGGTTTCTCAGTCAGCCGTTTGTTCAATAAATATTATTCTCTTTCACACACACACACTCACACACAC